TCAGTTCTGGGTTAGCAGAGGATATGGAGGGAATAGTTTCAGGTGTTCCTCCAATCTCTATCAGACCAGTTAAGTCTGGTCTTTTTACATGAATTTGAATTCTGTTCTACATTTTTCTCCTGCTCTGTCAGGCACTCTCTACTGTGATTCCTGCCAGGGTGGTCATTGGTGGTAGCCGGGCATCATCTAGCTCTTCTGGTCTCAGGTTGATGGAGTCTCTGGTTCATGTGGTCCTTTAGTCCTTTGGGCTAGTATTTTCCTTGTGTCTTTGGTTTTCTTCATTCTCTTTTGTTTCAGGTGGGATGGGACCAATAGATGTATCTTAGATGGCCGCTCACAGGCTTTTAAGACCCCAGATGCTACTCAACAAAGTGGGATGTAGAACATTTTCTCTATAAACTTTGTTATGCAAATGGACCTAGATGTAGGAGAGGGTGTTTTTAAGATTTTGACATCCCTGGTGGTGCAGTGGTTAAGAGGTCGGCTGCTAACCAAAAGGTCAGCAGTTCGAATCCACCAGCCGCTCTTTGGAAACCCTATGGGGCAGTTCTACTGTGTCCTATAGGGTCGCTATGAGTCAGAGTCAACTCGACAGCAACAGGTTTTTTGTTTTTTTCCATTTCACGAGCTTACAAGAGAAACAATAACCATATTAATAATTTTTTTGAATAATTGGAAGCACTTTCAGTACTCACAGAGCAAAAAGAACGAAGTACAGAACCAAACCAAAGTCCATAAATCACATACTGCTTTCCCCATTACAAAGCTTGTAACCATCATAATTTTCTTTTAAATCGTGTTTGTATAAAGGAACCCTCGTAATGCAGTGATTAAAGCACTTCGCTGCTAACCAAAAGGTCAGTGGTTCAAACCCACCAGCCACTCAGCAGGAGAAAGATGTGGCAGTCGGCTTCCGTAAAAATTATAGCCTTGGAAACTGTATGGGGCAGTTCTACTCTGTCCTATAGGGTTACTATGAGTTGGAATAGACCTGACGGCAACAGGTTGTCTGTATAAGGATAGAACTCAACGTAGAAGGTAAATTAATGCAACTCACAAATACCTTTATCATTCTATATTGGGACATCATTGCATGTGTGTTCGTGCATATATGTGCATGTATGTCTGTGTGTGTGTGTGTGTGTGTGTGTGTGTGTGTGTGTGTGAGAACGGGAGATGCAGCAGATATGTAGAATAGCTAAAACATCTTCCTACAAAATATTTTAAAGATGTTGTTTTAACTATCTGTCCCAGCTGTCTCTGAGGTAGCCTGGCACAGATACATGTCCACATGGATGCAAAACATCTCACGCAAATCCTTCTTAATAGTTTTATGTAATTCTTCCATTTCCTTCTTCCCAAGCTGTCTCCTTTCCTCATTCACTTTATTTCTATTTCACTATTCTTCACTTTTTACCCCTTAATCATTCCGAGGTTTATGATTCTCAGTAGTAGTAAAAATAACACTTACATGGTACCTGGGTAGTGCAAATGCTTTGTGCTCAATTACTGTTACGGATTGAATTGTGTCCCCAAAAAATGTGTGTCAACTTGGTTAGGCCATGATTCCCAGTATTGTGTGGTTGTCCTCCATTTCGTGATTGTAATTTTACATTAAAGAGGATTAGGGTGGGCTATAACACCCTTGCTCAGGTCACATCCCTGATCCAACGTAAAGGGAGTTTCCCTCGGGTGTGGCCTGAATCACCTTTTATCTTACGAAAGATAAACAGAAAGGGAAGCAAGCAAAGAGTGGGGGACTCATACCACCAAGAAAGCAGCGCTGGGAGCAGAGCACATCCTTTGGACCTGAAGTTCCTGCGCTGCGATGCTTCTAGACCAGGGGAAGATGATGACAAGGACCTTCCTCCAGAGCCAACAGGGAGAGAAAGCCTTCCCCTGGAGCTGACACTCTGAATTTGAACTTGTAGCCTACTGGACTGTGAGAGAATAAACTTCTTTGTTAAAGCCATCCACCTGTGGTATTTCTGTTACAGCCACACTAGATAACTAAGGCAACTACTAACCTAAAGGTTGGCAGTTCAAACTCACCCAGCAGCACCGAAGAAGAAAAGCCTGGCCTGGCAATCTGCTTTCATGAAGATTACAGCCAAGAAAATCTTATGGAGCAGTTCTAGTCTGTAACACATGTGGTTGCCATGAGTTGGAAATAGCAATGGGTTGTTTTTTGAATTTTGGGTTTTTTTAAATGTGCCAATTACAATTATCTTGAAAGGAGCCCAGGTGGCACAATAGTTAAGTGCTCAGCTGCTAAACAAAAGATTGGCGGTTCAAACCCACCCAGCCGCTCCGTGGGAGAAAGACCTGCTTCAGTAAAAATTACAGCCAAGAAAACCCTATGGGGCAGTTCTACTCTTTGTCACATGGGATCACTATGAGCCAGAATCAACTTGATGGCACTCAACACCACAATTATCCTGAAGCATTTTCTCCATATAACCAATGAGGAGCATGAGGCTGAAGGTAAAGATTAGACAGCACTGGGCTGCCAGATCTGAAGTGCAGGCCCTGTTTTGTCACTAGTTACATCTATGACCCACCACTCATCTGTCAGTTCGTCATACCACGGTGGCTTGCTTATTGCTGTGATGTTGGAAGCTATACCGCCAGTATTTCAAATACCAGCAGGGCGACCCATGGTGGACAGGTTTCAGTGGAGCTCCCAGACTAAGACAGACTACAAAGAAGGAACTGGCAGTCTACTTCTGAAGAAATTGGCCAGTGAAAGCCTTATGAATAGCAGCGGAACAATGTCTGATACAGTGCCAGAAGATGAGCCCCTCAGGTTGGAAGGCACTTAAAATACGACTAGGGAAGAGTTGCCTCCTCAAAGTAGTGTCAACCTTAATGACGTGGATGGAGTCAAGCTTTCAGGACCTTCATTTGCTGATGTGGCATGACTCAAAATGAGAAGAAACAGCTGCAAACATCCATTAATCAGAACATGGAATGTACACAGTATGACTCTAGGAAAATTGGAAGTCATCAAAAACGAAATGGAATGCATAAAAATCAGTATCCTAGAATTAGTGAGCTGAAATGGACCGGTACTGGCCATTCTGAATCAGACAATCACATGGTCTACTATGCCAAGAATGACAAATTGAAAAGAAATGGCATCACATTCATCCCCAAAAAGAACATTTCAAGATCTGTCCTGAAGTACAATGCTGTCAGTGATAGGATAATATCCATATGCCTACAAGGTAGACCAGTTAATACGACTATTATTCAAATTTACACACCAACCACTAAGGCCAAAGATGAGGAAATTGAAGATTTTTACCAACTTCTGCAGTCTGAAATTGATCAAACACGCAAACAGGATGCATTGATAATTACTGGCGATTGGAAAGCAAAAGTTGGAAACAAAGGAGAAGGATCGGTAGCTGGAAAATATGGCCTTAGTGATAGAAATGATGCAGGAGATGGCATGATAAAATTTTGCAAGACCAATGACTTGTTAATTGCAAATGTCTTTTTTCAACAACACAAACAGCGACTATACACGTCGACTTCGCCAAATACACAGGAAATCAAATCGACTACATCTATGGAAAGAAATGATGGAGAAGCTCAATACCATCAGTCAGAACAAGGCCAGGGGCCAACTGTGGAACAGACCATCAATTGCTCACACGCAAGTTCAAGTTGAAGATAATTAAAACACGTCCACAAGAGCCAAAATATGACCTTGAATATATCCCACCTAAATTTAGAGACCATTTGAAGAATAGATTTGAGGCACTGAATACTAATGACTGAAGACCAGACGAGTTGTGGAATGACATCGAGGACATCATCCATGAAGAGAGCAAGAGGTATTAAAAAGACAGGAAAGAAAGAAAAGACCAAAATCGTTATCAGAAGAAACTCTGAAACTTGCTCTTGAAGAGCAGAGTAGCAAAAGCAAATGGAAAAAATGAAGTAAATAAGCAGAACAGAAGATTTCAAAGAGCAGCTCAAGAAGACAAAGTAAAGTATTACAATGAAATGTGCAATGACTTGGAGTTAGGAAACCAAAAGGGAAGCACACACTCAGCATTTCTCAAGCTGGAAGAACTGAAGAAAATATTCAAGCCTCAAGCTGCAATACTGAAGGATTCTATGGGGAAATTATTGAATGACGTAGGAAGCATCAAAAGAAGACGGAATATACAGTCACTGTACCAAAAAGAATTGGTCAACGTTCAACCATTTCAGGAGGTAGCATGTGATCAAGAACTGACAGTAGTAAGAGAAGAAGTCCAAGCTGCAATGAGGGCACTGGCAAAAAATAAGGCTCCAGGAATTGACCAAATACCAATTGATACATTTCAACAAACGGATGTAGCGCAGGAGGTGCTCACTTGTCTATGCCAAGAAATCTGGAAGACAGCTACCTGGCCAACCAGCTGGAAGAGATCCATATTTGTGCCCATTCCAAAGAAAGGTGATCCAAAATAATGCATAAATTATTGAACAATATCATTAATATCACACACAAGTAAAAATTTGCTGAAGATCATTCAAAAGCAGTTGCAGCAGTACATCGACAGGTAACTGCCAGAAATTCAAGCCAGATTCAGAAGAGGACGTTGAATGAGGGATACCATTGCTGATGTCAGATGGATCCTGGCTGAAAGCAGAGAATACCAGAAAGATGTTTACCTGTGTTTTACTGACTAACAAAGGCATTCGGCTGTGTGCATCATAACAAATTATGGGTAACACTGCAAAGAATGGGAATTCCAGAACACTTAATTGTGCTCATGAGGAATCTGTACACAAACCAAGAGGCAGTCGTTCAAACAAAGGGATACTATGTGGTTTAAAGTCAGGAAAGGTGTGTGTCAGGGTTGTATCCTTTCACCATACTTAACCTGTATGCTGAGCAAATTATCCGAGAAGCTGGATTATATGAAGAGGAACGGGGCACCAGGATTAAAGGAAGACTCATTACCCCATCCTGCCACACCTTAGGCAAACAGAAAAACTGGTTTTGGAGTAAATACATTTATTGATACCCATTTTATATAGTTCAAGGAAATAATCTATAAATATAAAAGCATTTTTCTTTTGGATATCACCATGGTCCATGTAAATACTCAACAGTCAGAATCATCTGCAGGAAGCACTCCAAGTCACACTGTTAGGTTTACAGACCTGAATATACATATTTCATAAAACAGTGGCACTTATGTACTCAAGGGGTCCAGTGGCTTTGGAATATATGACTACTGGGCATGTGGAGTAAAAATAATGTGTAAATTTAAATCAACGGAAAGGGTATCAACCATCAACAAAAAAGAAAACAATTAAGAATTAATATTCTAAGCAAAGAAAGTACCACAGTTGACACTTGGTGTCAGAATACCGGAGACAAAGTATGTGAAACAACACATGTTGTGGCACCATGTGCTCGCTCCAACTCCCAGTGGCCAGTTTCACCAGTGCCTTAGGGTCATTCGTGGTCAACAAAACAGCAATTCTTAAGGAATCTAGATAGCTTAGAATAAAAGGTATACAGTGGCCCATAACAAGATGAAAGAAGAGTGATCTATATATTTCAGTGATACAAGGAGTTTCTCCCCTAGATGGAGGAAACTGGGGCAGGGGGATTCTTTTTAATTCCCTTTGTTACACTGATCATGATCATTTATCTAATCCAAGAGAAAAAACCCGGACATGAGGTACCCAAAAACACAGGTGCAAAATTTTCTTCAGTTTCAGAGTTTTTCCTCAACATTTCCAAACTAACTAACGTAGCCACTGTTGATCCTTGCCCTCCAGCTGATGCAGCGTAAAATGTTCTCTCTTTTCTTCAGTAACAAATACAGGAATGTCTTTTGCTGCAGTCAGATTACGTGTCTTCTGAGTTAGCAAGCAAATGCATTTAAAAGGTCTTAAGTGTGCAATGTCCAAAATTGAAATCTGAGAGGCAGTGTTAGAACTTAAGCAAGGCAGGAATTTTAAAGACTACTCAAATGAAAACCTAAGTGAAGCGTATAAAAATTCAGTTTTTTCTATTATTCTCAAGTGGTAACTGACGGCGACATTCCCGGCAAAGACAGGGAACTGGTGTCCTCTCCAGGTCCAAAAGAGCCCAACTAGTAAAGTGGGACCCAAAAGCGGGGAAAGACACACTTGAGTTCTGTGGTCTCTAGAATTTTTTTGCCATTTTAAAAAAAAGAGATAGTAGCTTCAGTTGTACCCCACCGGTTGAAGGGGTTTTCATCCAAATGAGAAACTCTCCCTGTTGTCTCTAGTGGGACAGGCACCAGGTTCCCACAAGCAGCAGCTCCCTTGTCCTATAGCACGTGACATCTGACCCTGGAGTGAAGAGCAAGCTGGCACAGAGCCCCAAGCACTGGGGTTCACGCTAGATGGCGTTTCGCGGCGTGCCATTGTGTGTCAATGCTTTCAGGCTGGGGGCACTGGTCTGGTGACCACAGCTCCTGTGAGAACTCACACCCACCTCAAAAACCTCATGAATAGCTTTTCGGAAACAGTGGAAGTTGTAGTCTATTAAACCTGTAAGAAAGAAAAAGATCAGGCATCCTGAATGTCAGTTGTGGAATTATACATTAGGAAATATTTGGTGACAGAAAAAAATAATTGATGTGTATATAAAAAATAATATACTCAACTGTCTCTATGTTGGAAACACGATAAAGCATATACTCACCTTAGCAACACTGGTTACCTCTGGGAACTGGCAGGGGACATAGCGCATGGGGGGGAAGGAAAGGGGATTTGAAAATAACATACACCACCAGATTTTTGTTTATATACGTTCATACTATTCGTTTAGTTTTTAACAAAAGGCATATATTACTACTGTAATTATGAAAAAGTTGGCAGCAAAGACCAGCAGGTAGAAATGCCTAGAACGATTGCGTTCATGTATCCACAAGAAAGGACTGGAGAGACTCAGGCAGAAGAGGAGAGTCCAGGTTTTGACAGGTCAGGCCCATAAAGAGAAAGGGCCCTGGCAGTGGGGGGGCTCTCAAAGTCAGCATTGTGTCACAGGGTTCTAAGGCAGCATGTAGGGCCGTTGCCCAGAACACACTGAGACAGGAGGAGGTCAGTAAACATGGGCCCTGGAAAACCAAAATGGACCAAGCATTATTACTGCTTTTGATACTATTCAACAGATTAATAATTTTAATTTAATCATTCTTCTGTATAAATACTAATCACAACAGAATCAACTACCAATAAAAACTTAAGTTTCAGTATGTTTCTCTAGTAGAAAAAAAAATTTTTTTTTTTCAAACAAACTCCTACTATCTGGGCATCTCAACTCCTGGGGGAACAGTTCAGGGTAAGAACAGGTAACACATGAATGACTCTTTAGAGACTAGAACTGGGTACAAATAACAGAAGCCCATCTGAACGATGTTATAATTTATCGGAACTACCTAGTATTAACATCAGAAAAAATTGGAATCGTTAAGTTTTACTTGCAGACATCAAGGGGAAAGTAAAACTAAAAAGCCATGTTCTTCCCTGGGAAGCCTTCCCTAGCAGTAACTTAAGCACAGGAGCTAGAAAAGGAGACTGGCTTCTTTCTAGCCTGGAGGAAGAGTGCTAAAGGGATTCCATTCTGGAGAGGCAAATCACGCTCCGCCTTTCACTCTATTCTTTGAATCAAGGTGCACGTATGCTTCATACGTGAAGAATGAGTTGAACAGGTGAACAAGTGTTGATAAAGAGCCTATCAAATGGTCAGTTCTGGGTCAGGCAACAGTGGGGTTAGCATAACTATGGGAATGAGCTGAAAATCCAAGGCAATGTAAATATATATATATATATATGTGTGTGTATATATATATATATAATAATTATATCATCTTTTGGGAAGAGCAAAGAGGTTTTTCTCTTCCCCCTGCACACCACCACCTACACACACATACACAGGTCTCCCCATCTTTCCTCATTCCCACACTTGACTATCAGCAAAAGTATTCTCTAAACAACCCAAAATTAAAATACAATGTTCCCACTTGCTCAAATCCTTGGAGCTACAATGAGGACTACTGATTCCCAGCTGTTCTAGGCAGAACTTCTGTGAAGTGGCCAGAAGACTTCTGTCCACTATGAAAATTGCCTATAGTTCTAAAGAAGCACATAAAAATCACTTCTACATACAGGGCACTCCCACAGAGGCAAGAGGAAAGTTACCTTCAACTATTCACAACACAGATATTATCTGCCTTATGGATTATCACCAGTAATATTTTTCTTCCTGCCACTTATCAACTACTGGTCAGAATCAAAAAGTTAATCTCTCCTAAAATTCATCAAAATAGACACCAGAAGAGAAAAAAGAAATGTGTTAGACTTCCTTCTTTACATTTATTTTATAATTTAATATTGTTTTTATTCTGAATTGTTTTGGGGGTGGGGCCACCTTAATCTTTTCAGTGCTTAGTGCAAAAAGGTTTTAACTGCACCCTGGTTCCATAAGGAAATGCAGACTAACTCCAGCAATTAATCTAAGTAAAGCAATTAGCAAGTGTCTTAGTTATCTAGTGCTGCTGTAACAGAAATACCATAAGTGAATGGCTTTAACAAAGAGAAATTTATTCTCTCACAGTCTAGGAGGCTAGAAGTCTGAATTCAGGGCACCAGGTCCAGGCAAGGCTTTCTCTCTGTCGATTCTGGGGGAAGATCCTTGTCATCAATTTTCCCCTAGCCTAGGTGCTTCTCAGTGCAGGAACCCAGGGTCCAAAGGACACACTCCGCTCCCGCCACGGCTTTCTTGGAGGTATGAGGTCCCCCTGACTCTCTACTTGCTTCTCTCTTGTATATCTCAAAAGAAACTGACTCAAGATACAACCTAATCTTGTAAATTGAGTTCTGCCTCATTAACGTAACTGCCTCTAATCCTGCCACAACATCACACAGGTAGGATTTACAACACACAGGATAATCGCAACAGATGACAAAATGGTGGACAATCACGTAGTACTGGGAATCATGACCTAGCCAAGTTGACAGATTTTTTGGGGGACATAATTCAATCCATGACAAGTGCTTACAGGGTGCAAGGCACTATCCTAGGTTCTGAGGATATGGCAGGGAACAAGACAGCAATGCCCTTGCCTTCTGACCTGGAACTGAAACCATTCCCGGAGACGACCTCTCAGCCAAATAATAAAAAAAAAACCAAACGCGTTGCCATCAAGTCGATTCGGACTCATAGCAACCCCACTGGACAGAGGAGAACTGCCCCATAAGGCTTCCAAGGAGAGGATGGTGGATTCGAACTGCCGACCTTTCGATTAGCAGCGAAATGCTTAACCATTGGCGTCACCAGGGCTCCAAACAATAAACAGACCCATAAAATAAACAATAACATCTGAAAGGAACATTCTAACATCCTTAGAACAATCAATTATACAAGATCAAAAAGGCAACATTTGCCCAAAAACAAAGATGAGAAGGCAGGAAGGAAAAGAAAATCAGGACGAAAGGAAATGGGGAATGCAAGGTGGAAATGGGAAGAGTGCTGGCACACTGAGAGGAATGCAACCAATGTCGTGCAACATTTTATGTACAAACTACTGAATGGGAAACTATTTGCTCTGTAAACTTTCATCTAAAGCACAATAAAAATTTAAAAAAAAAAAAATTCACATTTCCCAGCCTTCTCTGAAGTGAGGTCTGCCCACATGACCAATTCCGGCCCCTGAGCTAAGTGCAAGTGTTGTGGGACTTCTGTGAGATCTCCTTAAAAGAGGATGTGCTCTTCTCTCCAGCCCTGTTCCTTCTTAATGCCCAGAATATGGATAAGTTGACTGGAGCCCCAGGAGAGTCACCTCATCATGAGATGACCTTGAGAATAGAAGCCAGTGCTAAGAATGACAAGGCACAAAAAGAAGCCCTCTGTCCTCAATGATGCTGGGAAGCTGCCTTAACTGTCCCAGACTTCTCTGATGTGAGATGGAAATAAACTTCCACTGTTATTTAGGTTCACAGCCAAACTGAACCCAACTGGTAGACATTGCTGGAAATTTTTAAACTAGTCCTGGTGGCATTGCAGTTAAGAGCTCGTCCACTAAGCAAAATGTCGGCAGTTCCAATCTACCACCTGCTCCCTGGGAACCCTATAGGGCAGTTCTACCCTATCCTATAGGGTTCACTATGAATCAGAACAGACTCAACAGCAACAGGTTTGGGTTTTTGTTTTTTATTTTGGGGGGTGGTGGCAATTAAACTAGATAGCAGCCTCCTCAATCATAAGAGCTGGCCATCATATATCTACCACCACAACAACCTGCTAGACCACAAATGTGCAATTTGACCGCCACCCTTGGCCAAACTAACATCTCTGGCATCCAAGTTTTCAAATCACTCAATTCACATTCAGGCCAAAACAAAATACTAAAATACATAGTGTGGCCTGCTTGAACACGGTGTGATTTTCAAAATTTGTATTTGATTTGACAAAAATCAGTAAGTACTTACTGAACAGCACTACAGAGGCTACAATGGGTCAAAATAAGCAGCAAATACAGTTTACTCCTGTAAGGAGATGCTCCCACCCACCAAAACCACTGCCAGTGAGTTGATTCCAACTCATAGTGATCCTATAGGACAGGGCAGAACTGCCCCATAGGGTTTCCAAGACTGTAAATCTTTGCAGAAGCAGACTGCCACATCTCCCTCCTGCAAAGCGGCTGGTGGGTTTGAACCACTGACCTTTCAGTTAGCAGATGAGTGCTTAACCACTGTGCCACCAGGGCTCCTTAAGGAGATGCTAGCTGGGGACATAAAACCAACACATCAGAAAACATGTCGGAAACTAGCTAATGTCAAATTGACTACAAATGTGAAAGAAGCCCAAAGAAGAGAGAGCCAAGAGCAGGATAAATGTATCCAATGAGAGCTTCACGGATGAGGCAGAACTTTGGGGGATATAGACAAGATTTGGCTAGAGAAGAAAGAGGAGCAAAATTACAAGGAAACAGCAGAAATCTGACAAAGAGAACAGCACAGGCAGGAGACAGGAAAAACATTAGCCTGACTGGAGGAGGGCTCTGAACCAGTTCATTCTGGTGGGAACCCCTGCTGATAAAATGCATTTCTAACAAGTTCCCAGGTGATGCTAACACTGTTGGGTTAGGGACCAATTCGGAGAACCACTAGTAGAGCAGTGGTTCTCAAAATTTATTATACGTAAGAACCACCTGGAGATCTTGTTAAAGGTATAGTCTGATTCAGTATATCTGGCATGGAAATACAAACTCTCGGCAGGGGTTCAAACCAGTTCAAAGCCATGAACTGGAGAGAGGAGCATCAAAGAATTCTCGGTAGAAAGTACTGAGAATTTAGTCTGAGTGATTAGGTTAGAGCCAGCTTAAAGTGGTCCTTAATACTCAAAAAAACTATAAAGAAAAATTTTTGATAAATTCAACTACATTAAAATTAACTTCTATGAAAACTATAAAATAAAACTGACAATTAGGGAAACATGAACACTGACCAGATACTTCATAGTATGAAATAACTGCTCATTTTTTTTCAAGTTTATTAATGGTAATATTATTTTTGCATTGGGCAAATCTGCTGCAAAAGACCTCTTTAAAGTATTAAAAAGCAAAGATGTCACCTTGAGGACTAAGATGGGTCTGACTGAAGCCATGGTATTTTCAATCACCTCATATGCATGTGAAAGGTGAACAATGAATAAGGAAGACTGAAGAAGAATTGATGCCTTTGAATTACGGTGTTGGTGAAGAACACTGAATATACCATGGACTGCCAGAAGAACCAACAAGTCTGTCTTGAAGAAGTACATCCAGAATGCTGCTTAGAAGCAAGGATAGCAAGACTTCATCTCATGCGCTCTGGACAAGTTACCAGTAGGGACTAGTTCCTGGAGGACATCATGCTTGGTAAAGTAGAGGGTCAGTGAAAGAGAGGAAGACCCTCAGTAAGATGGACTGACAAAGAGGCTGCAACAATGGACTCAAACATAACAACTGTGGGAATGGTGCAGGACCGGGCAGTGTTTTGTTCTGTTGTACACAGGGTCGCTATGAGTCAGAACTGATTTCACAGCACCTAACAACAACGACATTATTATGTTTTTAAAAGAGCACTATCTTCTAGAGATACCTACTGAAATCTGTACAGACAAAATGATTTGCTCGAAGTAATACAACAGGGAAAGAGGAATAGAAATGAAATAAGATTGGCTATGACTTTGAGTTGAATCTGGGTGATGGGTACAAAGGGGTTCATTACACTATTTTCTCTACCTTTTTTTAAATATATATTTGACAGTTTCCAAAATAAAAGGTTAAAAAGTAATCTATGAGGGGGTGCATACATATGAAACAAGAGTGAACATATGTTCATGACTGTTGAAGCTGGGAGGCAAGTACATGGAGAGTCATTGTGTTGATCTCTCTACTTTGGTGTGTAAAGATTTGCATAACCAAAAGTCTAAAAAACTTTAAAAAGATTAGAATGAAGAAAAATAAAGAATTCCTAAGAATCAATAAGAATAAGACAAAGGTAAATTACCAAAGAAATCTGAACAGTCATGAAAAGGTGCTTTCCATGAAAAGATGCTTACCCTAACTAGTAAAGAAGTAAAACTTAAAACTAAATGAGATAACATTTCACACCTACCAGACAGACGACAATTAAATAATCTGGTAACATCAAGCGTTATCAAAGACATGGAGTGACAAAAACTCTCACACAGTACTGCTAGGGGTGAAAATGGTAAAGCCACTTTGAAAGCCATTTGGCAATGTCTGATAAAGCTGAAAATGTATATACTCTATAATCCCGAAATTCCACTCCTAAATACATACCCTAGAGAAAGTCTCCACATGTGCAAAGGCAGACTTGTTCATGAACATTTGTTGCAGAACTATTATTAAGTAAGAATCTAAATATCTAGTAACAAGAAAAGAAGCTGTGGTACATTCAACCAATAGAATACTATGTGGCAGTGAAAATGAATGAACTAGAGCTACATGTTATCAATAGGGATAATTATCTCAAAAACATCTTTGAACGGGAGGAAACAAGCAAGTGCAGAAAACTACTTACATTTTGATATCATTTATTTAAAGATATACTTTATATAAAGATATACAATACCCTGGTGGAACAGTGGTTAAGAGCTATGGCTGCTAACCAAAAGTTCAGCAGTTCAAACTCACTAGCTGCTCCTTTGAAACCCTATGGAGCAGCTCTACTCTGTCCTATACGGTCACTATGAGTTGGAATCAACTCGATGGCAACAGGTTTGGTTTGGTTTAGGTTTATATGATACTCTATACCATTCAGGGATGGATATGAAGAGAATAAATCGTGCATGGGAAAAATAAAACACTAAATTCAGCATAACATGAAAGAAGGGATTTCAATTGAGAGAAATACACAGAGGACTTCAACCCTATTCGTAATGTTTTATTTCTTAAGCTCAAAAGTGAATACACACATTTCTGTTTCATCTAAAATATTCTGTACATCTGAAATATTCCATTAAAAATTCAGGCAAATGAAGCACAACTGGACTAAACCGAAGCTAAGAAATTTCCTCAATACAATCAAATACTTTCAGAGATAGAGTAGCAGGGATGCGGGGTTCTGGGGACCATGCTTTCAGAAGACATCTATGTCAACTGGCATTAACAAAGCTTATTAAGAAAATGTTCTGCATCCTACTTTGGTGAGTGGTGTCTGGGGTCTTAAAAGCTTGCAAGCGGCCATCTAAGATGTATCAACTGGTGCCAACCACTTGGAGTAAAGGAGAACAAAGAACACCAAAGACACAAGGAAAGTATTAGCCCAAGAGACATAATGGGGCACATAAACCAGAGACTTCATCAGCCTGAGACAAGAACTAGATGGTGCCCGGCTACCACCAATGAACGTCCTGACAGGGAACACAACAGAGGGTCCCTGATGGAGAAGTAGAACGATGGGATGCAGAACTCAAATTCTAGTAAGAAGACCAGACTTAATGGTCTGACTGAGACTGGAGGCACCCCAGAAAGCATGGCCCCTGGACTCTCTATCACCCCAGAACTAAAACAACTTCCGAGGCCAACTCTTCAGATAGGGATTGGACTGGACTGTGGGACATAAAGTGATACTCGTGAAGAATGTGCCTCTTAGTCAAGTAGATACGAGAGACCAAAGGGGCGGCTTATGTCCAGAGGTGAGATGGGAACGCAGAGAGAGTTAGGAGCTGGTTCAATGTTCATGGGGAATCAGGGGCGGAGGAAAGGAGTATGCTGTCGCAGAATGGGGTGAGCGGTTGGGGTCTCATAACAATGTATGTAAAAAAAAAAAAAATTCTGTAGGGGAGACTAACTTGAAATGTAAACTTCATTTAATTACAACAATAAAAATAAAAAAAAATTCAGGCAAATGAGAAACTAATTTCTTCTATAAACCTTTATCTGAAATGGATACATAGATTAAATATAAATAGATAAGATATACAGATAGACAGATAAAAGAAAAAAAATTCACGCAGAAGAACTGGGACTTGTTGCAGTAAATAACAGAGAGCTACTGCAGACCCTTTAGTAGTTAAATAACATGATGAAAGTACGTTTCTGAAAACTGCTCTGCCTCTGGAATAAAAGATGATACATACAAGATACACTTGCTGCTACAGAACCAACAGTCTACATGAACAACGACATCACCTACCTTGAGACCAGATGAACTAGATGATGCCTGGCTACCACTACTGACTGTTCCAACCAGGGACTCCATTAGAATGGGACAGAATAGAAAGGGAGAAAAATGTAGAACAAAACTCAAATTCCTAAAAGAAGGTCAGACTTACTGAACCAGTAGAGACTAGATGAATCCCTGAGACTATCACCCTGAGATACTCTTTAAACTTGGAACTCAAACCACTCCCAGAGGTCACCTTTCAGCAAAATAACAGATTGGCCCATAAAATAAATAATATCATCCATGAGTATTGTGCACCTCAAAATAATCATCTAAATGAAACCAAATGGTAAACATTTACCCTAGACCAAAGATGAGAAGGCAAGGGGATACAGGGAAGCTACATTAATGGAAACTGAAAAACCAGAATGGAAATAACGAGAATGTTGATATTGCGAAAAATGTAAACAATGTCACTAGACAATATGTACAGAAATTGTTAAATGAGAATCTAACTTCTTGTGTAAACTTTCACCAAAAACACAATAAAATATTTATGTATGTATAAATGTATACATACATGCTGAATGCCTGAATAATATCAAATAGGAAGTTACTGCAACACCACAGGCCTGGAAAGAGGAGGACCTAGACTGGAGCCATTGACAGCAGAAATGCAAGGAAACCCAAGAAATAGTTCCAAGGGCCCCTTGAGCAATTAACAGGATTCCTGACTACAAGGCACCTCAGCTTGGACACACAAAAAAACGGCATCACTAGAGAGAAAAGTAGGGTAGGCAGGAGGGTCATGAAATAGCGGGTAAAATAATCAGTTTTTGACGCTATGGACTAGATAACAAAACAACTAAGTGAAGATGCTGTACTAACAGCTCCAAACATGAGACTGGAACACAAGCTCAAGTCAGAGCTGGAAATGTGAATGTTTCAATCAGTCTAATAAAGAAGATTAACCAAAGCCATGGATTGGATGAGCTGACCAGGAGAACTAGAATTAGTAAAGAAAAGAGCAGAAAGATTTGGCTACGAACAACACTCATGACTAAGAAAAAGAAAAACAGAAGAGGTGGCCAAAGAAACAAACCAACAAAAAACCCTGAAGAGTTCAGCTTTAGGGAAGCAAAGGGAAAAGAAAGCTTCAAGAAAGGAGGAACTGACAGGGTCTCCTGTCTCACAAGACTGAAGAGGCTACAGAATAAGAGGCCACTGAACGCACAAGAAGGTAACTTGGTAACTCTCAAAAGGTTACTAGTTCCAGTAGATTGGTTCAGATGGAACCAAAATCGCAGGCGTTAAAGAGGTGACAAAAGGATCTAACGTAAGAAAAAGCGGCTGCCAATGAGTCGATTCTGACTCATGGCGACCCCATGTGCGCAGAGTAGAAGTGCTCCACAGGGTTTTCAAGACTGTGACCTTTTAGAAGCAGGTTGCCAGGCCTGTCTTCCAAGGTGCCTCTGGGTAGGTTCGAACCACCAACCTTTCGGTTAGTAGTCAAGCACTCAACAGTTTTTTGCAACCTAGGAATTCCTCTGAAGTAAGAGAGGCCAAAATCAAAAAAATAAAAAAAAACGATATTTAAGGAAAAAAACAAGAAGGTCAAAAGAGGGGAAGAGAAAGTCTGGACTATACAAGGGAAGGGCAAAAGTAGTTTGAGGGTTTTTTTTTTTTTTTTAAGTAACCATGTGTCTAACACTGCGGTATTATTTCCTGTTGTACTCAAGGACCTAAAAAATTATGCCAAATTATTTATATAAGAATAACTTCTTTAAATGCCATTACCTTTTCGTTCAAAGCTTTCTTCCCTAAGAATGCAGACCAATGCCAAAAATTTAGTCACTTCTTTTAAATAGAGGACAGTTGTATTATTCAGCTTGATAATTGCCATAGATTCTTTGTCATAAGCACTTCCACTTCCATCTTCCTTTAACCTATTTAAAAGAAAGTATTTTTCATTGTAAGTTTCCCAACAAGGCATTCTGTTACACTTAACTTGCATCATAACAAGTCTTACTACCCAATTTCCCAAATTAAAAATGAAAAATACCAGCTTAAATACATTGGAACAAAAATTGTCATTTAGGTATAGGGCTGCTAAACAGGGACTCATAGTAAGAGCAACAATAACAAACCTCTCCTTATATGTCCTTTACTATTATAGATAATCAGGAATTTGGAGGAAAAAAGTGAAAACATATGTAGCTCTTAACTAGCAAAATGACAACATTTTCAACATTTTGCCAGATGCGGCTACTAACCCTCTTAGATCATATTTTGTAGGCCCAGTTGAGGTGCTGCCTTTCTTTACTTCCTTCAGGTCACAGGCCCCTCTGGGACCTGCTATCACCTAAGTGAATTCCTGCAAGGCATATTCTATACATCAGATTAGTCACACATTTTCTCAGAAAACACATTTTTGCTTCTTCACAAAAGCAGGAAAATTCTTAGACTACACAAGAACAGTCCCAGCTAGAGACCAGTAGGATCTATGCTGAAATCAACTTTTAAGAGATATGGACTCTGAGAATCATTTCTGATGTACTCTTAGTAAAAGTCTAAAGTTTAGCTAGCTATTGGTAGGAATTAAGAGTTGTCAAAATTACCTTTTAAATTCCCCTAAAACCCGTTGCCGTCGAGTCAACCCTAACTCATAGCAACCCTACAGGACAGAGTAGAACTGCCCCACAGAGTTTCCAAGGCTGTAATCTCTACAGAAGCAGACTGCCACATCTTTCTCCTGAGAAGCAGCTGGTGGGTCTGAACTCCCAACCTTTTGGTTAGCAGCAGAGCACTTCACCTTTTAAATTCCCCTACTCCCCCCAGGAAACATACAGTGGAAGGAAGAGGAAATGTTAGCAGTAGTAGTCTTTGGTAGTGGAACAGTGGCTTTTTTCCTCCTATTTTCACTTTTCTACATCTTCCATGTATTTTTTTAAAGAATGAGGGAGGGGGAGCTTATTTTTAAAACTATTCTAACCTTACAGTTTAACCTTCTCATATGTTAGTTTGATCCTCACAGTAACCCTGGGAGTAGAAATTATTATTATAGCCCTACTTAACCACTTCAAATCCTTTCTGGAACAAGTCAAAGTATAAACTAAACAAATATAAATAAAAGGACTATGCCCATTTTAAAGATGTAGAAACAGAAGTTCAAGAAAAGTAAAGTAATTTCCTCAAGATCTCACACCCTGACAAAGCCAGGACTCAAACTTTATAAAGTTGATTTCGGAAGGCTGAGTGGTAGGGAAGGAGGTGTCATTTGCTTTAAGAGTATGAAGAAAACTACTTCCTTCTGACTGGAGAAGAGGAAGTTACAAGTGCTATGTGTTCTCAGCTTATAGTTAAACGCCCTAAGTAGATCCTTGATTTTCTAAGCTAGTACCCATAGCCAGCAGCTCTAAAGCTTCTAACACTGAACAGCATATGACCTTGAATTGCACACTAACATAAGAAACATGAAAAGTGCATTCTAATCAAAGTTTGGAGATTAGACAGACTTAATTTGGCTATAATTAACAAAATTAAGAATGAAAACATGCTAATGACCTTAAAAAGCTTGCTCAGAGAATCTTTAAAGTGTAGTATTTGCTTTCTATGTTTTAATAAATTTTAAGACTATTAGGAAAACATACTTATCTAAACTTCAGCCAAAATATGCCTAGGCAAAGGTAGGAAGGTCATGACCAAGAGGAACCATACTCAGTGGTAACCTGTCGCCGTCAAGTCGATACCAACTCATAGCAACCCTACAGTAGCATACCCTAATGGCTGCCAGCAGGGCAAAATGGAGTATAACAGTACAATGAAGTACAAAATTTAACCTGGTTAAGTCCTGAAACTATCAAGTAAAGAGTTTGTAGCAAATATTATGGGACAAAAAGCATACCAGTATCAACAACAGATAACTTCTCTTTCTGTGACCCTGCAGTATTCCACACTTTCATCCTGTTTACCTAGGATGCATGGAGTACAGCAGGCTTCAAATCTTCCCTCATACTAATCTGTACTGACATGATCTGCAAATAAAGAAGGGCCTAAAATATGAAAATTGCCATTAGTGAAAAAGGAGGAAGTATAAAAACTAAAAGAAACAGGGTCTATTAATGATATTAATGATACTACAGAATCCTAATACTTACAAAGTGAGTCTTACAGGGTCTGAAAGCTACTTTATATATTAAATTAGAACTGATGAACTCACATGTAGTCTTTACTACACATAATTGTAAGGGTCAAGTAAAAAGCAAATTAACCACAGAAAAGTGCCTGCACAAATTATATTAATAAAAATGAAATAATGGACTTTTTTTCTTCCTTTTATAATATGCTTTATAATATATATTTTATAATGTAAGAAAATGAAAATAAATTTTACGACTAAATTTGATTTTTTTAATTATAAAGAAGTTTGTGAGATTTTTGTTTTAAAAAAATACAAATGTTCTGCTCACTCATTTTGTAAAATAAGGACTGGAGAACATGAAACTTTATTGAATTATATAAAATAAAAAGTATGTCTCATTTTCATTATAGAAAAACTAAACCAAAAAGGAGAATATGATCACAAAAGTGAAAACTGAATAGACAAGAATAGGCAGACAAAGAAGAAGTAAGACATACACAGTCTTCTACTCAGAGGCAGCTAGAGAAAGACACTGACAAATCTGGCAGGGACCAGGGTGAAGGGGAGGGACAGAGAGAGGAAAGAGGAGTTTAGATGAGGTGAAGCCGAGAGGAAAAGTAACAGCAAAGGACACAGGTATTAAAAAGCAAAGGTAACGTCAGTGTCAGAAAGCAGCTTGGGGATCCTGATGTTAACATATTAAGGGAATCAGAGCTATTAGAAGATACAGACAGTATTGCCTTTTGAAATGCCAGTAACTCTCCAAAGCTCTGGACTATTCTACAAAATCACTTGTTTGCTGATGTCTGTACATTTCTGCATAGAGTTTCAAGAAATTACATAAGGGAAAAGCTTACATTTTAGAGACTTATGTTTGAACCTCAGATGTGTGGGTCAAATTTGTAACTTGTTTCTTTGCTCTCTGCAAGATTAAGGATCCCTCCCTTCCACAAAGTCTGAAGATTAAATTAGCAACCAGCACTTACCTCATTACGCAGACCATTTTAAATAATCTATTTTTTTGTTTATCTACCTACATTTAAAAGGCACAGTGCAAACCCCCCCAAATGACATAAGCGGGGGAGGAACTTTCAGTGATAAATAAGCCCAACACTAGTCATACTTTTCAACTGCTCTTATCTATCGTCTCTGAAGGAGTTATATCCAGCAGCCCAACTAAGGAGAAATTATGCTCCAAGTTGAAGCACGATGGTCAGAACAAATCCACTTATATAGTACTTGCCCCCGACAAATTCAGCTTATACTTTTCCAATTGTTTGAGATCTTGTAAAAATATGGATACAACTTACCCATATATACAAGATACATCAATTACAACATCAATCATGTCACAGCAAAGTTCATAAGATTGCATATCCACAGGGGAACTGTCTGTTGCAATGTAGATTTTGCTGACAACATCGAAGAGAAAAGCTTTTTCAATACCTGAATTCTTGGAAAAACAAAATTGGTGAAGTGTTCAATTCTTTTAAGAATCACAGTGAAATTTCTCAAAGATCTTGAATCACTGAATAACATCCAATGTCATTTTTAATTATACAATCCAATACCAAAACACAAATGGTACTTGGTTGAGACATTTCTATAACCCAAAGAATGAAAGTTAAATTATTTCTCTGCTCTGATTTACTGACATAATTCCACAAAATTTATTTTTTCCTTCTACTCATTTAATTGTATTTTGTTGTTGTATACACAGCAAAATATACACCAACTCAATATTTCTACATGTACCATTTAGAATAGCTTAAAATAGTTTCTACATGTACCACTGACTGCATTCTTTTGAGTTGTACACCATCCTCAGCCTCCTTTTCTGAGTTGTTCCTCCCCCATTAACATAAATTCACTGTCCCCTAAGGTTTCTATCTAATCTTTCAAGTTGCTGTTGTCGATTTGATCCCATGTAGACAGTTCTTAAAAAAGCTTAATGCTCAATGCAGACATTTATTCCTAGTTAAGCTAAACTATGATTTTAAGATGACTTCATGGGATATTTTCAGTTTCAGGTTTATAAGATTATCTCAGGGCAATAGTTTCAGGGGTTCATCCAGCCTCCATGGCTCCAGAAAGTCTGGAGTCTATAAAAATTTATAATTCTGTTCTGCATTTCTCCCCCCTTGATCAGGATTCTTCTATAGAATCTTTGATGAAAATGTTCAGTAATGGTAGCTGGGCACCATCCAGTTCTGCTCATCTCATGCAAAAGGAGGCAGCTGGTCATGGAGGCAGTTAGCCACACATTCCATATTCTCTTTCTATTCCTGATGCTTCTTCTTCCTCTGCTGCTTCAGGTGAATAGAGACCAACTGGAGTGCCTTGGATGGCCACTAATAAGCTTTTCAGACCCCAGGCACTACGCAACAAACTAAGAGATACAACAGAAGCACTAAACATGTTATCATGCTGATTAACTAAGATGTCCCATGTAACCATGACCCTAAACCTCCAAACCAAAAAACCAAAACCTATGAGGTTTTTGGTTGTACATTAGCAGCCTCAGCAGCTACTTTTTTCTTTTTTGTCATTGTTGTAAATCTATCACACAATTTTGCCAATCCAACTTTTTACAGGTGTACAACTTATTGACAATAACCGGCTATACTACCCTACCCTTAATCAGTTCGGTATTTCCATCACTGTTAAACCTCCATTTCCTCCCGCTCCCACCCCTGGTAACCACTAATAAACTCTGTACTCCACACATTTTGCCTTTTCTTTTTATATAAGTGAAGTCATTCTTTCTCTCTACTTAAATGAACTGTTTTCTAAGACATCACCAAATTTTTTTAATTTTTCTCCAAGAATCAAGCCATGCTACATTTTCAATAATCCTTTTTTTTTTTTTTTAAATAATCTATCTCTAGTTTGAATAACCTTGCAATAGAAAGGCTTCATGTGGCAATTAGGAAAACATAAGAGTCATAGCCTGATGTCAACATCTAACATAACCCAAAAGCCCAAGAGAGTCTACTTGGGAATAACCACACATTGAGTTCTTTTTCAAAGCAATTTTTGGAAAATATAATGACCAAATTTTAAATTTACTGGAAGGATATCCTTTCTTATTAAGTTCAATCCTCAAAACAACAATGTAAAATATGATACAAAATTACATTTAGCAAAGAAAGGAAAAGATCAATTTTTCAACATGACCTCAAATAAGGCAGAGATTAGACTGAGTCAAATTCCCAAAACCCAGTTTTCCCAGTTACTACTTTCCCTTTCGGAAAGATATGTCATGAAGATATTTTCTAATTAAAAAAGCATGAGAAAATTCTTCATCAGTTAATTTTAAGATACGGTGGATACTGAGGAAAGAATTCAGAAAATAGTAATTCTGGGCATCTTTTGAGAACTTGACACCACAAACATATTCAATGGAAATGGAATCAAAAACTATAATGAATTAAATAGCTTACTGATATAAAGATATTTAATAGGTTTTCCAAGGTCGGCAGTTGTGGAATGAGTTTCTGTACCACCTTACTAAAGGCTTCAAATATTGAATGGTCATAGATACTCGTCAAATAAAAGCTGAAAAACACAACACAATTTATTTGAAAAATACTTTGTTTAGCAATGACTATCATAATACATAAAGTTTTAAATTTCACAACATTTTATTTCAGTAAATTCGAATAAAGCCTCTTTATCTTGTCCACTATTATCTTGTCCACTATCCCCATCATTCAAGATGACAAAGGCCATTTCCCACCCGGCTTGTAGCTATCCATCCCTTCACTGCATTTCAACTGAGAGCAACTGGTAGCACCCAGGCAAGCATTTTCAGATGCATAAGTTTGAATATTTACCAGTCTTTGCAAACACATCAGAAAAGCTTCATTTTTCAAGTACATAACTGAAAAGAGGCCAAAAATAAAAACCAGGAGAAAGCTCAGAGAAGATATGTGACATTTATTACATAAGAATATAATTCAGGTCTCTACTAAAACATCACCTCCTCAGAGAGTTCTTTCCAGACCACCCCATCTAAAAGTCTCCCTTCCCCCAATTAAGTTTTCTTTATAGCACTGACAAATGCTTAAATATATAGTATAATTTAAAATTACACTGTATATTTATTCACAAGTACTTTATATCTCCCTCATCAGAATGTAAGCTTCATGAGGACAGATTCTATCAGTCTCACTCATACTTGTAAGCCCACCGCCTTGAGCAGTGCTAAACAAATAAACAAGTGAATAAAACTGATGCTTATAAAATTGCTGAGACATATTAAGGCAGACGGGAGCTGGTGCCCTATAGAGGATGGAACAGGAGTCTGGAGGCCTAAGATGTGCAATGGAAAAGTAACATACGTAGATTTAACAAAACATATACTTGAGAAAAACTTTTAACAATATAAATAGCATGAACAATTCTACTGCTTTTTCACTCAGTGAGTATACTCTTCATCATATATTTTACATACTTGTATCCATTATACATTTACGTGCACATACTACAAAGTCAGAGACGCAGAACTGTGTATACCACATTTTATAGGCAATTTTAAGATACTTTCAAGGACCTCACTTAAGAACCTAACTGCACGCAAGACAAGGCTCTAGTCTAGATATTACAGCGCTGAAACAGGTGAGACCAAGATGACCCCCACAGGTACAAGACAGAAAGGAATATTTTATTGTTTCCTTTAGGCAAAAAGGTTAGCCAAGTGAGAAGGGCCTGCAGGACCTGTAAGGCATGGAAGTGGGTACAGGCAGGGAGAACTCACAAGGCTTTAGAGTACACAGGACATTTAAATCAGGTTTCTGGAACATGGAAATTGAATGGAGCCTAATCCACAGGCCTGCTAGAATATCATAATGCTTGATGCAGAATTGTACTGATGTTAACAAGGCATAGAGCCCTGCAAGGAATGAGGGAAAAGAATGGTGTGCACCACTGGGGTGGGATGCCCTGGAAAGGCACACAGACATGGGGTAAAGAGGATCAGGAGGATCCCTATGAACACTGAGGAACAGTGTTAGTAATGACAGAGATGGGACTACATTTACACATTTTTCAGGGCTCTCGTATCAAACACACACGTTGTTACCTAAGATGAAGTTTTTCTAGCCCAGCATCTGCAAGGTCATCATTGGCCCTTTGATGAATGTCCCTCTGTGTTTCTATTTTGTGATCATCAGACAGACCATCAACTTTGTGAATAAAAACCTCAAAATTCATTTCTGGGTTAACTTTGTAGGCTTTAGAAACAGTAATGTGAAGTCTTGTTAAAGCCTCCATGTAGTCATCCTGTAAGTCAGAACAAAATAGTTTTTAAAAAGAAATCTTAAACGAAAGTCAAGCAATGAGTTAAGCAAGCCTCAAACCACCTCTTTCCCCAACCACAGCAAACATATTACCCTAATTATATACAAGTACTCAAACATTATAATACATTAACTTATACCAATTAATAGCTCTTCAATTTCTCAAAAATAAAAATTCAATTGCCAAGTTATATGCTCGTAATCTTTAATACTGATAATTTAAAAAGGAAACGGATATTTCTTCACAATAGATTTTTTTTCTTTCAAGTAATCCCAGCTCTGCCATTTATTTGGAATGTGACTTTGAGCAAGTTGCTGTGATCTCAGTTTACTCGCCTGTAAAACTAGAATTATGGTACCAACTTCACAATATTGTGAAGATCCAATTAAATTGGATCATACATGTGAAAGCACCCATTATAGAGCCTGTCACTCACAAAGCATTCCTAACTAATATTAAAGTTTATAAAAGATAAGCTTCTTAAGGACAGGGGCCATGTCCCATTCATCTGGGTGCCTACTACATGCTAGGCCCTCAATAAATGCTTCCTGGGCTAAACACAGTTTGGGCAGTTAAAGAAACAATTTAATATTTACTGACTCCATCCTCATATTCCTCCTTATATTATGAGCACTGATGGGACCTTTTCAGTGAGTGATGTCACCACTGTACCAGTTAATAATGTTCAGCAACATCTACTACTCACCAATACAAGTGGAAAGCCAACGTTGGCTGCTCATTAATTAGGACTCTAGGATGTAAACCATATCTTCTAATCATCTGATATTTTGTACTTGCACAATGGGATGCCTGCTCCCAAAGCACCTCTGCAATTACATCTCTTTACTGTTAGAAAATCTACTGGCAAAGAAATAAGCTTCAAGAAACACATGATAAAGAAGATAAACATTTTCCTTTGTTTCTACATCTTCTCCCACCAAGAAAGAGAAGTATCATTATTCCTAAGTACCTGTGCATCAATGACATATATCAATGCTCCTGTTCCTCTGAAGATCATCTCATAATCAAAGGTTGGGTCAAAAAAGTCCATTTGCCCAGGAAAATCCCATATCTGGAAATTCACAAAGGAGCTATTGGAGATATCATCTTTATAAATTTTGTTGGTACTTTCCAAAAAGAGAGTCTCGTTGGGTGACATTTTATGAAACACCACCTGTCAAAAGAAAAAAAGAGACTTCTATTATTCTTTTAAATTTTGGTATTTAAAGTTTAAAACCCTACCCTTGGTTAACAAGATAATTTGAAGAATAGTCCTATAGCAAAAAATTTAAAGGAGATAAAAACTTAACAGTATACCCACTGGTACTCTCACCATCCTTTTGTGACAGGAGAGAACACACCAAATTACCTTCTATTAAATCCACTTGGAACTGAAACTTTTCTGCAATTTTCTCTGCACCATATTCAGCATCTCTTGCCTCCACTGTCTGTTTTTTATTAAATTGTATTAATTTTGTCAAAATCTGCTTTAAGATTATAAAAGCTTTACAGCTAAAGCCTACGAAGTTTCATTCATCCAAAAAATACTCAAAACTGAAAACTAACCTGGAATCTGCCCTCAATGAGTTTGTAGCCTTGTGGAAGAAATAAAACAAGGACAGTACCATAATGGCAGGTACAAAGTGATAAACGTCAAGGGGCAGGGAGAGGAGGGGCACTACGGGAGTTAACACAGAAAAGTAACAGTGCCCATAAAAAAAAAAATAGTAAAGGCAACTGTTTAAGAATCACAATAATCACAATCCATACAATCCTAACATAAAAGTAATTTCCTCTTGTTGGAAAAGAAAAATGGATAATTACTCCCAAGGTTTAGTCAATGAGTAACAGTGAGAAAAATTAAAATCCGTTTTCTAAAAATCTACCACAAATATACCTACATTTTACTGTAAACGTGAAAAGCAAGATAAATAAAACACAGTAACAGTAGTCCAACAAATAAAGAACCAAAAACCAAACCCATTGTCGTCAACTTGATTTCACTCACAGTGACCCTGTAGGACAGAGCAGAACTGCCCCAAAGGGTTTCCAAGGCTTTAATCTTTAAGGAAGCAGACTACCACACCTTTCTCCTGCTGTAGTAGCTGGTGAGTTCAAACTAGCGACCTTTCCTTAGTAGCCCAGCGCTTAACCACTGCACCACCAGGGCTCCTCAAACAGAGAAGAGTGCTACTTTTTTAAAACATCAAGTCTACAAAATATCACTCAGAGATTTATTTTGACAGACTTTTGCAACTAAGAGGAAAAAGCAAAAGACTGAGTGTTTAATGATATTAGTTTTACAACCAGGTCACTCCATGTGTAATGAGAGTGGGCTGATGAAAGAGGTCAAACTTGCCTCTATTTCCCCCTTCCTTTAGGGTACAGCCCTCCATTCTTTCTTGACAGACCCAAGCGGAAACAAACGGACTGAAGTAGGTCTGCAAAATATTCTCAAAGTCTCAAAAGAGTTTTTTTTAACAACACACACAGCAGGAATCACCTGTAGTTAACATTCACCAGGCCACAAGCACTAAAATAGGTATGCCAAAAACCAAACCAAATCCACTGCCGCTGAGTGGATTCCGACTCAAACAGTGACCCACAGGACAAAGTAAAACTGCCTCATGGAGTTTCCAAGGCTGTAAACCTTTACAGAAACAGACTGCCACATCTTTCTTCTGCAGAGCAGCTGGTGGGTTCCAACGGCCCACCTTTCGTTAGCTGCCGAGCACTTGAGCACTGCGCCACTAGGACTCTTTATAGTAAGTATAATAGTGCCCAATTCCCAATAAAGTTACAGTAAAGTCTCCTTCATACTAGTAGCAGACCAAGCACTATCGTGGCCAGTGACTTTGTCAAAACTCTTCCTGACGCTGCTCCATGGAAATCCTTGCAAACGCAGGTCACCTAACTGAGAGGGAACAAAAAAAAGAAAAAAAAACGGGGCAGGGGACGGAGTCCATGAAGTTCTCCAAGTTAGAGCTACAGAGTACATTTCAGTTTGGTAAATGACACAGGGGCTGGGGTCTCAGAAAGCGGAGGTCTTGGGCGGGGCCACCGGGCACCTGCCTCCCTCCAGCCAGTTTCGCCTTCAGGGACTCACTTCGCCTCAGCTGACTTGGGTGTGTACTCAGAGATCGGGATTCTTGCACCCGGCCGCGGCTCAGGCTCTGCCCTCCCGAGAGGAGAAGAGAAAGTGCGGTGGGACAGACCTCTAGGCCACCCCCCAGACGCCAACCTCCTAGGGGGGCCCCCCGCCCGGTGGCCACCTGAGCCCCCGGGATGGGGGGAGGGGCGGAGGGACCCCGCGCGGACCCACTCACCTTCTGGATGGAAGACTTGCCGCTGCGCCGGAGCCCCATGAGCAGGATCCGCGGCTTGGAGCTGTCAGCGCCCCCCGGGCCACAGCCTCCGCCGGCCCCCGCCCCAACCCCGCCGCCTGCAGCTGCCGCCTCCTCTTCCTCCTCCTCCACGCCGTAGCCGAAGTCCTTTGGAAATGAATCCGCTGCGCCGTAACTCCCGGCGAGGGGCGCATCCTCCGTCCCGTACTGCAGGGACATGGTGCTGGAGCCGCCGCCACCCGCGCCCTGACAGGCCAGGCCAAGCCAGGCCGCCGCCTCCCCTGTCCGCCACCGCCGCCGCCTCCCCGGCAGCCGCCACCACCGTCCGGCCCGCCCCCTAGAGCCACGCTCTCATAGGCTCCGAAACAAGGCCCAGCCCTTCATTGGCCGCCAGAGCTGCCACTCGGGAGCAGCAGGGTAGGTGGTGCCCGTCACGTGCTCGGAATCACCTGACTGGAAGCTGTGGAGGGGGAGGAGGAGGAGTCACGAGGAGGGTGGCCCCGACCCGCTGAGTCTCTCTGTCCGGGTTGTCGGCTTTCTGCCCCAGCCTGCACCTCTGTCCTGCTGATCCCAGGTCTATGCCTCTCGCCGTTCCCCTGCCTTCTACCGGGCTTCAGAGATCACAGGAATTGGGGAAAGTTCTCTGGGCATTTTGCGGGAAAACTGCGTGTACTTGTGCAAACGTACTCGCCCAACCAGTATGACGCCTACGATGTCCTGGGTACCAAGGGGCACAAAACTGCAATCGACTCGGACCCTGCCTGCCCTGAAGTTGCTCGAAAATAGAGATTGGACCTCTGCGTAAGTAGGCGCGGAACGAGATACGAAGTGGGAAGTTCGCAGGTACGGATAAAAGTGCTCAGGAGTTGGCAGTCTGTAAGGAGGAGGTAGCGCCAGAGCAGGTCTAGATGGATGGATATGGTCGGGATCTGCAAAGGTGTGGAGGAGGAGCGAGCCGGAGTTAGGCTAAAAGCGTGAATCAAGGCAGGGTGTGATGCAGACACTATGTTCTCGTGGGAAAGCAAATGCAACGAAGCTAGAACATCTTATCCTCTTTCTAGGGCAAATCGCTGACTGTTGATCCTGCTGCCACTTCAAACTCAATTTCCCCTCCTTCACAACTAGTCAAAGTCTCTTTATCCAGTTATTCCATCTTCTATGACCCCCTTTGGGTCAGAGACCAAAGAAATGAATTAATGAAGGCTAACCAAAGTTTGTCACCAAATGTGTTCGAGAAAGCTAGAGAAATTTTCACTCTTGACAATCAGTTTCTAGAATTTAAAATCTGACAAGAGATCCTCCTCTTAAAGTACTGCCCTATACATTAAAAAAGGGTAGGGGGAGAGGATCCTGGTCTTCCAAGGAGACGGACGTCTTGGCTATGAAGGGAAAGCACGTTCATGCTGGTTTGGGACTAGGTTATATCTGAAAATGGAAGTTAAAGGTAGGACACACCCTTAGAGGCACCTAGTCCAACTTCTCACCAAAATAAGAATCTACAATAGTGTCTCTGACTGATAAGATAGGCAGAATACACTTAAGTAATTCCAGGGGAGGAAAGCTCACTATCTCACATCTCCACAGTGATAAAACTTTGTTTAAGTTTTTTATTCAACCCAAAAAAAAATCATACTCCTTGGAGCTTATATAATAGCCCTGTTGGCACAGTGGTTAAGCGCTCGGCTGCTAGCGGAAAGGTCAGCGGTTTGAACTCACCAGCCATTCCATGGGAGAAAGATGTGGCATCCGTATTTACAGCCTTGGAAACCCTATGGAGCAGTTCTCTGTCCTATAGGGTCACTATGAGTTGGAATCAACTCGAGGGCAATGGGTTTGGTTTCTTTTCTTGGGGTGGGGGGAGCTTATAATAGCATGTAGGAGCAGTCTTCATCTTTTTCATGGCAGCTCTTCAAATGTTAGGTTGCAGTCTTCATCATCCACTAAGTCTTCTCTGTTCCAGGATAAACACCCTCAGTTCTTTCAACCATTCCTTTTATCAGTGCTATCCATTACAACTTTCTGCGATAAAATGTTCTATATCTGCACTGTTCAATATGGTAGCCACTTCCTGATGTGGATTGAGCACTTGAAACGTTGCTTGTGTGAATGAGGAACTGAATTTTTAGTTTTATTTAACTGTAATGTGGCTAGCGGCTACCATACTGGACAGCACAGCCTTATATTTCAAGGGCCATCTCCTTATTGTTCACTCTCCTTTATATGCGTTTGAATTTGTCAGCATCCATGAAATGTCTGACACCTGCAGTACAATTCTGCCCAATACAAGATGACCATTTAGTATCTAGACAGTATTTCTATTAATGCTTTCCTAAATGGATTTTTTGTTTTTAAGTAGCCACAAGCGGTTCACATTGATAATCATTGGAACTAGTACTTTGTTAGCAATTCTAGTGCCTAAACTTGTATAACTGCTTTTTTGAACCTAAATATAAGAGTTGATATTTCAGCCTTTTGGTTTAGGCCCAGCAGTTGTTAATCTCCAGGTCGTTAATCATTTTAAAGCTTGTTTCAGTATGTTCTACCAACCAGCCCTTCTAACTCTGTGTGGCATTTACAGATCTGACATTACTGTCTGATCCATATGTAGTCCTTTCCAGGTTGCAAGGCATTTTTAAATCCACTATGGTTAATTTGATCCTGACAACAACATTGTAAAATAGGCAAGATATGAAATCTACATTTTACATATAGATAAGCTGAAGTAGAGCAGGAACTGAATTAATAGAATCCTTTTTCTACTCCATTGAGCATCCTCAAGTGTACTGTTTTCATCCAAATCGTTGACATCAATGTTGAAAAGGACTTCCAGAAGCAAGGCTGACCCCAGGGGTGGATTATCCAACAGGCAAGGTAAGCACAGTGCTTACTTGTTTACCAGATCATTTGTAGTCAACAATTTATGTTTTTTCACCACATCGAAGATTCTGCTTTTAGGTATGACTGGCATCTGTCTCTCTCCCAACCCCACAGCACCTTCCTACAGAATCAAAGCTTCTCTACAAATTTACAATCCCTGACAGGAGCAGATGACCCAGTAAACAAGGCAAGCATAGGCTTACTTGTGCTTGCTTATCTGTAGTGAGCAAGTTCACTACAGATGATTTAGTAAGCAAGGTGAGCACTGTGCTTACCTTGCCTATGGGATAATCCGCCCCTGGCTAGCCCTGAATTCTTAAATAGCACTGACTGGTCACAGTTTGAGCCGGTCAAACCCAAAAACCAAACCCGTTGCCATCGAGTTGATTCCAACTCATAACAGCCCTAGAGGACAGAGTAGAACTGCCCCATAGAGTTTCCAAGGAGCACCTGGTGGGTTAGAATTGCCAACCTGTTTTGGTTAGCAGTCATAGCTCTTAACTACTGTGCCACCAGGGTTTCATTAAGCAGGTCAGTTCCACCTAAAAGTGTGATTATCCAACCCACATGTTGCCATTCAATTCAAAAGGATGGTAACTCCATGGGAAAAAAATCAAATGAGTTACCTGCCAGAAATAATTTCTACTTGTCTGTATCCATAAAGGGACTGCCATACCAGCTGCTTAAGCCAAGTCTCCCTCTCTTTCAAAACTCCCATGAGGCCATATTTTATTATTCTTGGGGTTTTTAGCACATCCTATCTCATATTGTAATTGCTTATATACATGCCTTTTAACTTCAAGTCATTCATCTTTATAACACCTGGTGCTTAGCCTATTGCTGTCAATGTAGGAGGCACTCAACTTAGTAAGAGACAAATCAATTCAAGTTGATGTTGTTCCAACAGTATTTGCCGCCGCCCCCCACCCCCGAAAAGAAAAAAAAACCAAACTTGTGACTAGAAGAGGCACAGATCATTGGCCACACTTCTGCCAACATGACTGATTAAAATGCTCTCAAAATTGGCTTGGTCGCAGTTTCCAGCAGCTGCTTAGTCTTTTGCTAGTTACACCAGCTTTCATTGGATTCATTTTGTTTTATATATTGTGGTTTGACCAAAAAATAAAGACAGGTTCTTTAACAATAGGGATAGAATACATGAAATAGGATTCCTTCTTAATGTTTGTCAGTCAGTGAGGAAAATAAGTGATCAATAAAACAACATCTGGCTGTAGGTCTTCCGAAAGAAATGAAACAAACAAGTATATAGTGCTTTACCGTTTACAAGTCCGTCACATACATTTTAAAATTTTACCCTCACAACAACCCTGTGAGGTAGGCAGCACAGATATTCTTCTCATTTAACAGATGGGGAAAGTGACTCTCAAAGTGGTTCACTGATACACCCAAGTTTCTACAGTCAGTAAATGGTTTGTATTAATCAGTCTTTGGCCTAAAATTTCAGCACCCAACATCCCTCCCTCATACTTGCCCTACCTACTTCACAAGGATAGTGAAGATAAAATGAATTCAAGGCTAGAAAAATACTTTGAGGAAAAAAGCACTATATAATTATACCCCAAAACTACAATCTTCCCTGATATATGGCTCATTCCCCTTCTCATCTCAGCTTAGGCATGAACCCAGAATTTTCTATTGCCTCTGTTCTGTGCTCACTAAGCAGTTTTCATAAGGGTAAGGAACAGTGTAATGCTGTTTAAAGTTACATAAATTACAATCAGGGTAACTGCTGTTATAGCAAATTGAAAAGTAACACAGAAAGGCCGACGTGCAACTGGGACCTACCGAAGCACAGAGCGAAGCAAGGCAACGTTATCGGATAGGGCATGATTGCGTACAAGAGAAATGCGGTGTTAAGAGTTCAAACTGGCACACACAGTTATCTAAGGCAAAGTGGTGGCAAAGAGGATTCGTAGGAACCTGTGCAAAAGTATCTTATGTCACACAGATCTCTCCAGCTGTCTACATGGAATATAAACAACAGTGTCATCTTCATTTTAAAGAATGACTATATCTGTGCTCATATCCTGAATCTAACCGAGGAATAGCTCCATGCTAAACTTCCTTGATTAAAATCAGGGCTTTGAACCTGTTCTGGTTTGAACCCCTGCTGAGAATTTGCATTTCTAACAAGTTCCCAGCTGATGCTGATGCTGCTGGTTAGGGACCAATTCTGAGAACACTAATAGAGCAGTGGTTCTCAAAATTTATTATACATTAAGAATCACCTGGGGATCTTGTTCAACTGTAGATTCTGATTTAGTATATCTAGGGTAGAAATGCAAATTCTCAGCAGAGGTTCAAATCAGAACAAACCAGTTCAAAGCCCTGGTTAAAAAAACCAACCAGTACCATCATCCCTAATCAGACTGGCAAACAGAATGTGTTTTGGTAATGAAAACTATTTAGATGGCTGTATCCATAGTTTTTTGAGGATTTACTTTGGATTCTCCCAAAGAAAGTTATATTGAGTTTTTATTGGTGATTCTAAGTATGTGTTTATAACAATTAAAGTGTGATAAGTGAATTTAACATATTAAAAGTTTTATATCATCTGTTCAGAAAAGATTATATACTATACAAACTATTCAAGTCATACAAAACCATTTTTCAGTGTCTTTTCAACTGAGAAGAATCCTATTCAGCACGCTTCTCCTCCTGAGGTGGTTCATACTGAGCAAGCTATGAGGCAAAGATAGAGGAGTTTAGGTGAATTTTATTCTAAATTGGGTAAAAAATAATAGCAAAACAAAATGTGGTAACCATTCAATTACTGAACCAGTAAGTTTGTTAATATCACTTTCTATACCTATCCTTTCGAAACCACTCAGTGATTTAAGATTTAATACAATCAACCCCAATAAAAGCCCTTTTTATATATAACTTTTTTAAAATTACTGGGAAACTAGAGGCACAGCAGCCCAGGCGCAAGGACTAGAAGGCAGGAGGAGACAGGAAAGCTGGTAATAGGGAACCTAAGATTGAGAAGGGAGAGTGTTGACATGCTGTGGGGTTGGTAACCAGTGTCACAAAACAATATGTGTACTGTTTAGGGAGAAGCTAGTTTGTTCTGTAAACCTTCATTTAAAGTAAAATAATTAAAAAAATTACTGGGAAACTAAGATTTAATTCCAGTTCATGACTATTACTCAAGTACATGCTATGCACTAATCTCTATCTTCTCAAAGATTAGAAAATTCTGTGGCTTATACTAAGGAACTTTCTTCTTCTCCACCAAAAGTTTACTGAAATTTCCTCTAAAAAGTAGAGAAAAATAATTATATGACGTGTATTAATCTAGCCAGTCAAGGAAGAGTAACTTTAATGCCTTTGACTTCAAAGGTGCCAAAAAGTTAACTGACATTTTTTTACATCATGTATCTTGGACAATTTGAAATATTGCATTTCCTCATATGCAAGATTGTGGTCCCGAGAGAACAGTAGGCTAAGAAAAGGTTTGGCTTCTGCCAATTAGCTGTGGGATTTGAGAAGGTTATTTGACATCAGCATGCTTTAGTTTCCACACCTGTGTACCTATTTCAGTTATCTCACAAAGTTGTAGAGGAGATAACCACGCATTGTGAGAAATGCCTAGGGTAATGTAAGAATGCATCATGTGATTCAGAATGTGGTAAAACCTCAAAGATTGAGAGTTGAGGAATTTGAAGTTTATGAAAATTCCCAGGGGAGTCTGAACAAAGAAAAAACTTGGGCACCAGAAAAAAATGAAGTGCAAATAAGTTTACAGAGGTATATTAATCCAGGGCCACCACATATGACCATGCAGATTGTACAATGAACAGCTCCAAGAGGAGCTGTTCACAAAGTAGTGTTTTTATATTCATCTACTTAAATCGACTGCTTAAGAATCTCAGAACAATTCATTTCCTTATAAACAGCAGTAACCAATATTCTCATCTTTTTGTTGATGCAGGTTCCCAAGAATCTCTTTCTTGACCACACTTTGCTTGTCCTATCACAGTTGGTCTTGGGCCTTTCTAAAGGTGGCATAATTCAGTCTTGGCAGTTAATTCAGATATTTACCCTTCCCTTCCTCCCCCATATAATCAGTAAAGGTAAAATGATTTTTAACATGAATGCTTTCTTAAAAGTTTACCTTTGCTTTCAGTTTTTTATTTTCTTCTACAATAGCTTCATATTTCTCTTTCATTTCTGCCAATTCTAGGCGAAGAAGCTCTATTTCTGGATTTTCTGGGGTGGCAGCTCCTAAGTGATGCTTTAAAAAACTAATACCAATGTTAAGAATTTACTTCTTAAAGTTGAATGAAACTAATGAAATAGCCCAGGTAGCAATTTATCCAGAGATCATCATCCAAAAACTTAAACTTTTTCAATAAGCATATCTTATTGAAGATTATTTCACATATTAACCCATTGCTGTTGAGTAGATTCCAACTCATAGCGACCCTGTAAGACAGAGTAGAACTGCCCCAAAGGGTTTCCAGGCAGCAGCTGGTGGATTCGAACTACCAATCTTTTGGTTAGCAGCCAAGCTCTTAACCACTGTGCCACCAGGACTCCATTTCACATATTAGCTATGTGAAAAAAGAGTTATCAAAAATAAGGCTTTTTTTGTCTGACTTCAGACTGGGAAAGGATACTCCAAAGCACTATTAGGTTTCTCTGGTTCTTCATATAAGGCTACCAACACTGCAAATCAAAAAGCAACAGTTAAAGTCTTAAATTTGATTATATTCCATAACTCAAATATTATATGCCAAGCACATTGCTAAACATTATCCATACAGTGGTGAACAAGACTGATGAGGTTCCTGCTCTCAATAAATTTAGTCTAGTTCAAAAGATAAGCAAGGAACTAAACAAAGAGTTCTAAACCACAATGCTGGATTATGGGGTTATGGGAGCACAGTGGAAGAGCACTGTTCTCAGCCTAGAGAAATAAGACTTCAGGCCTAGATGATGAGTGTTTCAGATAAAATGGGAAGGCCTGGGGGCAAGAGAACAGCACACTGAGGAACTGAAAATTCAAGTATGGCTGGATAGAGTTGTGAGTAATGTGGCAGGAAGGGAAGCTGGAAAGGTGGTCGGGGATCAGACTATGGAGGGTCATGTAAGTTTGGTTGGATTTTGATCCTCAGAACAACAGGCATATAATTAAACAGTTTTAAGCAGGGCAGTGACAGGATCACACTTGACTGCAGTGTGGAATATGGACTGGAGTGGGACAAGAACAAAGGCAGGAAGCTCAGTTAAGGGACTGATGTGGTAATCAAGATAAAAAAATATATAGTGACATGCACTAGAATGATAGAGGAATGGGGACAAGGTGGGTGGATTTGAGAAAATTTTTAGGAGAGAATCAACAGGTCTGTGGTAATTATTGGAGAAGCTGTGAATTCAAAAATATTCTTCAAGAGCCAAGTTTTATATACAACATGCTAAATAATCACTAACCAAAACCTTTTACCAGTAATCAGCATGCTCAAATCAACAGTAAAATACACACTTCAGTGGTTTCATATCCAGTAGTTCATGTCAGCACTACCGTGCTCATTATCTTCTATTAAACAAGTTCCTCATAGAATTTACTACTTAGATAAAAATCCCCCTAGACCAGTGGTTAACCTTTTTGTGGGTCATGGAACCCTTGGAAAAATCTGATAAAAGCCAAGAAAAATCTAACCACACACACAAAAAATGTGCAAATCTAGACCCCAAGTTAAGAACTGTTGTAAACCAGCTTACATGCTTCCCCTTTGAGTTTTACTCACTTACCAAAATTTAGACAGTATGAAAAAAAAATCAGATGGACAACTACTTTTAACAGCTTACACTGAGTTTGCAGTTATTCTCCATCTAAATACACGTACAACACAATTTTGTTAGCAATTAACATATTTATACTACTAATACCCTCTTCTCCCCTGTCTCCTTTCAGTGTCTGACAGTTTTAACTAGTAAACCAGTTGCCATCGAGTTGATTCTGACTCATGGCAACCCCATGTGTTGCACAGTAGAATTTCACTCCATAGGGTTTTCAAGGCTGTGACTTTTCAGAAGCAGATCGTCAGGCCCTTCTTCCCAAGTACCTCTGGGTGGGTTCAAACCACCAACCTCTTGGATAGTAGTTGAGTACCTAACCATTTGCACCACCCAGGGACTCCTTGATAGTTACAGTACTCTTTTAATTCCTCTATTATTTCTTCTTTAAATTATATGCTCAAACCTGTTTTCTTCTTCCATTAATTTCCACTGTCTCTATTAAATCCTAACTTTATAAGACAGGGATATTAATACTCTTACCCTTTCCTCCACATCTTCCCCCACTCCATTTCTTTCAGAGTCTAAATTTCTGCCAACTTAATCAATGGTGTTTACAAGGTTGATAATTACAGAAGATAATGTAAATGTCAGGGGGCCCTGGTGGTGAAATAATTAAGCACTCGGCTGCTAACCAAAAGGTTGGCATTTCGAACCCACCCAGCAGCTCTTTAGGAGAAAGACCTGGCCATCTGCTGCCATAAAGATTATAGCAAGAAAACCCTATTGGGCAGTTCTGCTCTGTCACATGGGATTGCTATGAGTCTAAACCGACTCAGTGACACCCAACAACAATGTACATATTAAGTTTTCTGTACTCTTCTGTAGATGAAGACGACAAGGAGGACTCTATACCTGATCATGTTTACCCTTTTGCCTTAGCAGCCTGGGTTTCTGGAAGCTGATGTAGTGCTCAAAATAACTAACCAACTTATGTGCTGCTAAAATGCCTCTTCTTCCAAATAATTTATCATCATCTTTTATCTTTAACCAAGTTTCTGTTATGGATTGAATTATGTCCCCCCAAAATATGTGTTGTAAATCCTAACCTCTGTGCCTTTGGTTATAATCCTATTTGGGAATGGGTGTCTTTGTTATGTTAATGAGGCAGGATTAGCATAGGGTGTATCTTTAGTCACTCTTGAGATATAAAAAAGATACAAACCAAGCTGATTAGAGAGAAAAGCAAGCAGAAATGGCGAAGAGAGATATCAAGCCACATGAAGATCACCAAGGAGCAGCTCAAAGAGACAAGGACCTTCCTCTAGAGCTGACACAGAGAGAAAGCCTTCCCCTGGAGACAGCACCCTGAATTTGGACTTGTAGCCTCCTATACTGTGAGAAAATAAATGTTTGTTAAAGCCATCCACTTGTAGTATTTCTGTTATAGCAGCACTAGATAACTAAGACACAGTTTTACAGAGTTTTAATGTTATAAGCAATTTCAAATCCTCTTGGGAAAAAACTGGATAAAAATTATAAATTAAATCTGTATAAAATACCAACGTTTAGGGTTGAAAATCAAATTTTAAATAGACCATATCAATAGATACTATGTTAAGTTGTCTGACGTTATTTAGGAGACTGGAAATCTAGGGAGACTGAGGGGTTAGATTCCAGTGGATGTGAACAAGGGAGAGGAAGCCTCCGATGGTTTCCAGTCTCTCAAAAAGCAAAATGCTTGTATGGCCACAAGGCTGTACATCTGGGCAGTCACCTCCCACAGCCATCACTTCTCTGTCTTTTACCATTCTATCCTTCACTCACTTTATCCAGCCACCCTGGCCTCCTTACACGTCTGGAACTCTTGACATCATACATTGTTTCATTCAGATCTCTGCTCATACTTCTTGAGAGGCCTTCCCCCACCATGCTATATAAAATGGCACACGCATTCCACCCATCACTCTTCATGCATTTACCTTGCTATGTTCTTATGATCATAACACTTAAACCATCAGCTAACACTATGTATTTATTGTATGTCTCTCCCAACTAGAATATAAGCTCATAGGAGCAGAAACTTTTTTTTCCCACTGCTCTATCCCCAGGTTACCGTTGAGTCAAATTCAACTGGAGGGCACCTAACAACATCCACAGTGCCAGAAACAGACTTCAATAAGATGGTTAATAAATAAAAGAAGCAAATTTGTTGAGATTTTCGAGAAGGATGTCAGCAACATTCCAAGCATTTGTGACACTTCCAGAAACAACATAGCACATCTCTTTCACAAACCAAAGCTGTTGCTGTTGATTCCAACTCATAGCAACCCTATACGACAGAGTAGAACTGTCCCCATAGGGTTTCCAATGAGCCAACTGCTGACCTTTTGATTAGCAGCCGAGCTCTTAACCACTGTGCCACCAGAGTAGCCCCATGTTTGCTGACATTTATTTGCAAAAAGAATGGGAAACTAGCATGTGAACCCACGATAGGTAGCAATTCAAAATTTCTAGCCTATGCATGGTACTTAAAAGCCCTGCTTTCTGCTAAGACTCAGAATTATCCTTCTCCCAGAATTTTCCCCTAACATTTGCTTTTGCCCAAAGAGCAGTTACCAATTATTTCTGAGACACTTCCTATTCTTTTCATATGGGTCCAGGTCCTCATCCTTTCCAGCTTTTCCGTTCTACACCTTTGAAAATCCCAGCCAGAGAGTTAAGTGACATATAGCAAGCATTCAAATTACTGCTGAGCTAATGAAGTAAGCAGAGTTCCTGAGTGGTACAAACTGTTAATGGGCTTGAATGGTTGGAGGTTCCAGTCCAATTAGGATGTCTCATAAGAAAGGTCTCCTGAACTACTGTCGAAAAATCAGCCATCAAAAATCCTATAAAACACAGTTCTACCCTGACATGGGGAATCAGAATCAATTCTACAGCAACTAGTTTAATGAAGTAAACAGAACCCTATCTATCCGAACCCTCCTGTTTCAAGCATCTTACTCGTCCACTTAGATCCTGTACTGCTGGGGGAAGAGATACAGTGTAACAGTAAGTTTCTGTTTTAGAAAGTGACACCAGTATAACCATTTTGACGTGCCCTCAAACACTAAACTGTACTATTTTAATTTTGAAAGCTGCGCAAAGAATTGATAGACACTAAGAAACGGGCGTTGAAAAGCCACAACAAAATTGGCTATGAATCGCCTACTATGGGGTTTAGGCTCAGCTACTTCATAGCCCACTTTAAATCTGCCAATTTTCCCACTTGCCCCTTTGTTCGAGGGAAAATGTTTCTCCACAAGATTCTGATACTCCGCAAAAACCAAGGCGAGAGGTATCCGGATCTCGAGGTCTTTTACAATCGCGCCCACTGCGGCGGCTAGAAGCAAAGCAACGGAAGTTGGAGAGACTTCGCAACAGCTGCAAGAGTTTCACTCCGTGGCCCAGATAGTGAGAACGTGAGCGAGGCTACCCCGACCGGGGCGGCGTCCGGCAGCCGGCAGGTGCTGATCCCCGCGGAACCCCGGGGCCCACCTTGCTGGACCACAGACGGGTTCCACCTGCTCTCCCTCCTCCACGCCACAGCCCGTCAGGGGCGCAGCGCAGAAGAGCACGATGAGGGCACGAGGAACCCTCTCCTAGTACATGCTCACCCTTGGTCAGCGTGTCCAGCACCCCCGACTTCTCCAAGTACCTCCGGAACTGCTCGCGCTTCGAGTCGGCGGCCTGAGAAGACACGGCGGGTCAGTGGCCGAAGCCCGAAGGAGCCAGAGTAGGAAGAAGGCGCTGGAAGTCCGGCAACCCCGCCGCCGCCTCACTACCCCAAGCCCCTCAAAACCTCTGCGCGCGTCCCCACTCCCACCCGTAGCCGACCAGCGGCTGGCTACCGACTTCACGCCCCCAGCCACGCCGCGCCCTCCTTACTTTGTAATGGGCCATAGTGACAGCGGCAGCAGCGTAGCTGGCGCCCGAGACCGTGGCTGGCGGGTTCTGAGCAGCACTGCGCTTGCGCGGGAGGCCACGTGCGCCTGCGCAGTTAAAAAACACGGTAGGGCATCGCCGGGGTGTGGCCTGTTTTCATGGCGACCAGGACGCTCTGAGTTCCCCGTGGCGAGCTGAGCGGAGGGAGGCTGCGTATGCCCGCCCCTGTCGCTATCGAAGCAGCACCTCTTCTTCTTCTTCCGGTCCGCACAGCGATTCGGTTGCTTAGCAAGAGACGAGGCTATGGTGACTCCGGAGCAGTGTCCAGGTGGGGCTACAGATGGGCGTGGCGTCCGGAGGCGGTGCCTGCGGAGCCCTCGAGGTTTGCTGCTGGGTCCCGTGGGGCACCGCCCGACGCAGGGAGGGGGCGGGCCTTTCTCTACTGGGACCTTGGAAGCCTTGGTAACCTGTGGGCACGACAGTCGCAGAGAGACCCTTGGATTTCAGTTGGCTTGAGAACAGTGTTTAGGATCATGTGCTCTAACGCCACTTATACGTTTGGATTCTTCTTGTTTCTATGGCTAACGGGCCTCTGGAAGGTGAGTAGTAATATGCCAGGCACTGCACTAAACACGTGTTCGTTTCGGTCTTCACAACATCCCAGTAAGGTAGGTACTGTTAGTAAGGTGGCAAGATTAGGTGACTTGTGAATAGTAGAGCCAAGACACCAATCCAGGCAACCTGACTCCAAAACCCTCTTTTAATCATGATGCCATAGGTAAGCTGGTAAACGAAAAGCTACCAATCTTTTTGTTTAAGATTTTATTTACTAGATAGCAGCATTATGGTTATCCTCAAGACACATCAGGCTACAGGAAACTGAGTTAGGTCTCAGAGGCAAACAAAATTGATCCAGTGTTCAGAAATAAAAGATTAATAACTAAAAGGAGCAATTATATTGATCAAGAACAATCTCCTAAGTCTGTGGTCCCTTCAAAGAGAAAACCTGGTTCCAAACCATTTGGCCTCCGTTCTGAACATTGACTTTCCCAAAATCTGTTTTCACACATTCTGATGGGAACCATGCCTGATTTGGTAATTCTATGTCTTTAAATTTAAAACTACCTTTCACAACTCAGAATTAGAGCAGTTTTCCCCTTCTTGAAGGTCCCTGGGTGGCACAGTTTGCCCTCAACTGCTAACGTATAAGTTGGCAATTCGAACCCACCCAGCAGCAGTGCCGTGGAAGAAAAGGCCTGATGATCTGCTTTCATAAGATTAAAAACCAAAACTAAACCCGTTGCCATCAAGTTGATTCCAACTTGTAGCGACCCTATAGGGCAAAGTAGAACTGTCCCATAGCGTTTCCAAGGAGCAGCTGGTGGCTTCAAACTGCCAACCTTTTGGTTAGCAGCTGGGCTCTTAACCATTGCACCACCAGGGCTCCTTCGTACAATTGCAGCCAAGAAAACCCTATTGAACAGTTCTACTCTGTCCAAGAAAACCCTATTGAACAGTTCTACTCTGTAACACACAGGGTCACCATGACTCAGAATCTACACCTTGGCAATGGGTTTGGTGGTTTGTTTGCTTGTTTCCCTTTCTGAAATGAGTTTACAGTTGTCTGACTTAACAGCTGGTCCTCAGAGCTGTCTTGTCCCTATTTTGTCCCCGTTCCATCCCCACTAGGCCACTTCTATAGTATAACATGCAGAATGTCTAAAAGCCAACAGCTGTTCATATCTGAAGGTCTGTGGGAGCCCGCCTCCCAATGACGTTGTTTGTTGGAGACACTAAATGATTTAAAGGACAAGCACTAAGACTTTTGCAGGTTCTGACAAACTCAGAGTCAAAGGACAACTCTCCCAAAGAATCAGGAACGTCAAGTGGTTGGGAGTCTCCCTGTAAAAGAGGAAGTGTTCTGATTGTGTCCTCTCCGAACTGGCCCTTGAGGCTGCCTTTAGGAGGTAGTCTCTGGTTGTGATCCTCTGTAAAGGGACCCCATGTAGCGTTAAGCCTCTTTGGTTTCCAGTTGCAGTTAGCTGGCAGAGAGAAAACTTTTGGGGGTGACTGCCTCATGTGGTTTTCCAGATCTACAGTAACACCTCTAGAGTAATGGTTCCTTTCACTGTCTTTGCCATCATTTTCTCTTCTCTCCCTTACCTGGTTATCATTAACTTCTTTTCCAAATATTTTATGAGTTCCTTCATTATTACTTGAGCTGATGTGTTGAATTTGACTACAAATAGTATTAATTGTGTGCATCTCATTAGAAAGTACAGTTTCCTGTTCATCCAAAATGCATTTCTCATCATTTCCACTATAATTTTCAGGATCTACCTGCAATGCAGAAGATGAATTTAGACTGGGATACACTGTTGTGTGTGTTTTCTTTTCCACTAAGAGATGATAGTCAGATGCAGAAGGGAGTTGCTTCAGTGAATTTGCAGATGTGCTCTTATATTTGGCAGAATTTTGTTTTGACTTGTTTTCAAAGAGTTCATTATGTTCATCCTTCAATTTATATTGTCCCCAAAGCCCTCTTTTAATCTTTTTAAAACCTAGGTGAGCAATTTCTAGAACATTTAAGAAAAGTGAAACAGTGGCTATGGACTGCATAAACAATAGGAATATTGTCTTTTCTGTTGGTCTTGAGATAAAACAATCAATTGTGTTTGGACATGGGTGGCTATGGCATTTAAATAGAGGCTGTAAGTGAAATCCATATAAAAGATACTGTCCAATCATGAACCCGACTTCAACTGCAGAGCGAGTGAAAATGTGTATCACATAAGTGCAAAGTAAGGTTCCTCTGAGTGGAGCTTTATTAAGTTTTCTTTGCTCCAGCTGACAAAGCTCCTGCTCCAGTCTCCATCTGTCCCCAGGCACTTCAGATTCAGCCCCCTCCAGTTCTCTTCTCAACTGAGTTTTCATCTCCTGCCTCTCTTTCTCCAGAACTCTCAGTCGGTACAAAGCATGGCCCATGTAGACCAGGGATGGTGAAGATACAAATATGACCTGTAGAACCCAGTATCTAATGAGGGAGATGGGAAAAGCCTGATCGTAGCATACATTTCTGCAGCCAGGTTGTTCTGTATTGCAGATGAAGCCAGACTGCTCATCATTCCAGACATCTTCAGCTGCTACACCCAGAACGAGCATTCGAAATATGAACAGGATGGTGAGCCAGATCTTTCCAATTATGGTGGAGTGGATGTGAACTTCCTCCAGAATACCTCCAAGGAAATTCCAGTCCCCCATGTTTATTTAGTCAGCCATGGTCTGAACCCCATCAATTAGGAGACAGGTAGATTCTTCCATTCTAAAGAGACCGCTGTTTCTTAAAGCAAACCTATGGCCAAAAGATGAACAAAGCGTCACTCTTCCAGTGTGCTGGTTGCTTACTTTTCCTCTAGATAGCAGTGATAATCTGTTGTTGTTGTTAATTGCTATGGAGTCGGCTCCAACTCATGGCAACCTTATGTATGACAGAAAGAAAAGTTGCCCAGTCCTACACCAATAATCTATTACCAGGAATATATTTAAGACAAGTCAGGAATTTAAAATCACTCATGTTTCAACCTAATAATGCAATTTTTAAAAAAAAAGTGATACCTGGGGGAGGTATGTATATATTCTCTACTAAGAACAGAATTGTAGGATTTTCTGCTAAAAAAAAAAAAAAGTCTTCTTATTTGGCTGATAGGAAGCTTATTCTCTTGTTTTTTAAACTGTAGAGTTTTCCTAAAATTACTAGCTTATAAACATTTATTAAGGTTATGTTGTTGTTTTTAGTTGCCATCAAGTCCATTCTGACTCATGGCAGCCCATGTGTGCAGAGTAGAGAACTGCTCCACAAGGTTTTCAAGGTTATGGCCTTTCGGAAGCAGATCGCCAGGCCTTTCTTCCCAGGCACCTCTGGGTGGGTTTGAACCACTAACCTTTCAGTTAGTAGTCAAGCCCTTAACCATTTGTGTCACCCAGGGACTACGTTATATATAAGTTATAACTAGAGTCAATGATTTTTAAATCTCATTTATATATAAAGGAAAATGAATTTGATAATTCAGTAAGATAGCAGTGTCTTACTGATAGCATTTAATGAAACCAGAGGAAACAGATCTGGCTCTTGCTGCAGGAATTTTGATTAGTTTTTAAATACACATTTAAATGTTTAAATTCTGATTTCTTTCTGGCAGATGTTGTGCATTTCCAGAAATCCATTTTAGTAACATTTATGAATATTTATAAAATTCTTATTATACTTTGCTGTGAAAAATTTTGGAAAGGTTTATCATGTTAAAAGGAATTCCAAAAATTCTAACTATTTTGTTGTAACAGAATGTTATTAGATATTACCTAAAATAAATGGACCACTGGTGTGTAGTGATATTATAGAAATTTTCATTGTAACAATATTTGATCTACTTAAAACATGTAGCTTGCTATTTTGCAGGGGGCAGTGGGGTCAGTTATAATTTAGCTACCAGTAGGTTCCATATTAAAACTGATATCCTAGGCTCTCAAAGAAAACACAAAAAGAGTGAATGTTTTCATTTAAAAAGTAAATGTATGTCCTATATCCCTTATATAAAGGCAATATTACATAATCAAATAAAATACTAGGATAGTATAACTACAAAATATGTTCATTACAAAAACCCTGCAAGGTAGGTATATTGCTTCGCCATTCGACAGATGAGGAAACTAAGGCATACCTTAATTACTTTAGCGTTTGAACCCAAAACATCTGGTTCTAGAGCTCGCTCTTAACTGTTTTACTAAACTGATGTTTTTCCTCTTTGAACAAACTTGAAATTTGCATAAAACAGACGTTAAGAGATCATCTGTTTTCCTCTTATAAAGTTTAACTATTTAAATAAGAAATGTCAAATAGTGATAATTTTGGCTTTTAAACAACTAGGTCTAGACTTTTTAGTTCCTTTCTTAAAGCTTTGTACAGTTAATAAGACTTGGCAAAAGCATCAACCTTCTAAAATTTAGTTGTGTTCCTGATATAGAGGAAATTTCTCTTTGACTTTATTATGTTAAAAATAGTATACTGTTTGACCCAACAATGCAAGGCAGTTTAAAATGTAAGCAAGAATGTTCATAATTGTCATAAAAACATCTGAAATAATTACTAATACAAGAAAGACTGGTTAAATACATCCACAGTGTGGTACTATGTAGCCAGTGGAAATGATAAATATACACTAATATGGAAAGACATGTTGTTTCAGTGAAATTCAAATAATAAAATAGAATAGTATGGCCCTCATTATTGTAGAAATATATATTTATTTACATGTAGAGATGCATACAAAAAAGTTTAGACGGTTCACCTGAAGCACAATTGAAAAAAAAAAAAGTCAAGAAGAAAATTCATCAAAATAATAACTGTGATTATCTCTGGATGGTAGGATTACAATTGATTTAATTTTTATAAGTATATGTATTTTAATTATTTATAAAGAGCACTGGACTTTTATAATCACAAAAGGAAATAAAGGGTTGTTTTTTCTTCCTTTCCCTTAAAGGACAAGAGCATTGTATTCCTTAAAAGAAGAGGCAGCATTATTTAGAAAATCCTTTTTATTAAAGGTTTTGTAGCAAAAACATGAAAACTAGTATATATAGATACAGTACCATAGAATGCAAAAACAAAAGATAAAAATATTTCTATCAACTTTCTTAATTAGCTGAAACAGATTAACACAAACCTTTCTTAGTTTAGGTAAATCTGAGAAGCAATCATGCTTAGCAGGAGAAGTTATATCACCACCATCTTCAACTTATTTTCTGAATTTGTCCCTTTGGGCGTGTAGAGCAGATTCAGTGTAGTTCAGTGCAGTGAGTGAGTCAGCCATCAGCTAAAATCCATTTCCGTTTGCTCATTCTTGCTTCTAGAGCAGTGCTGTCCAATGGAGCTTTCTGCAATGATGGAAATAGTCTCTATCTACGCTCTCCAATCGGGTAGCTACTCATCACATGTGGCTGTTGAGCCCTTGCAGTGTGGCTTGTGCAACAGAGGAATTGAATTTTTAATTTTATTTGATTTTAATTAAATTCTGAAGAGCTATATGTGCCCAGTGGCTACCTTATTGGACAGCACAGATATAGACTATTTCCAATATTTTTAATAGCACACACAGTTCTAGAAGACTAGAGATGTGAGCCCCAGATTAAGCTGAATAAATGGTTCCTCTAAGAGCTATGGCTGCTAACCAAGAGGTCAGCAGTTCAAATCCATCAGCCACTCCTTGGAAACCCTATGGGGCAGTTCTACTCTGTCCTATAGGGTCACTATGAGTCGGAATCAACTCCACG